AGCTGGGGGAAAAATCCTTCTACAGTTATATAACCAAGAGATCTTTATTTATTTTATTATAAACGTGATCAGTTTTATGCAGAATTCTCATAGACTGTGGTTACAATGCTTCCTCACACCCGACGGGCAATTTAGTTTCCTTCTTTCTCCTTTTCGTTTTTAGCTTCCATTAGTCCCATTTATTTCACTTTTCTTCTGGCTGAGAAATTAACCCCTGAACTAGGAAAACAACCTATATATACAGGGATGGCATTTCTGAGTGTTAAGTTCATACCGCCTCTTAGCCACTAGGCTATGCTAAAGTATCGCCCATTTGTTTGGGAACATTTCCCTTTTCCAGCTATGTGCAAAAGCAAAAAGGCGAGTGTGAATGTTTACATCACTGTAAATCTAGCTGATAATTCATTTAACAGTTTATTTTAGAGAAAGTTTCTAGAATTAATTTCTACAAGAGTCCAAAAGAATAAATTTTTCTAATAAGTTTTATGCAAATGTCTGATTTGGTTCTAAGAGAATGCTGTCATAATTAGGTTTATTTTCTCCAAATTAAATATCTATTTTCATTTCATGTAGTTAGTTCACCTTTAAAAACACAACAAAGTACAGTTACAGAGTGATTAACTACAGATGCAGGAGCTTTAGAGCAGATGTTTTATTTTCTGCCTAAAAAGCACATAATTTAAAAATGCAACATTTCTCAGTGTTAGTAGCAGAAACAATGAGTCTTTCTGCAAGGAGCAATATATTTTAAAATGAAATGGACATCTTTTTTAAAGGTTAAAAACTCATCCAATTTTATGTCTTACAGCGCTTATACTGAGTTGAATATTATATAACTGTATTAATTCAACTGTGAACCTAGAAACTTGCACCCACTTGTGAAAGAGATATAGTATTGTTCTGGAGTGTGTTACTGAATATGTTAAAGCTGTAGTGAAATGCTTCTTCTAATGCTTAAAAAATAAGATAAATAAAAAAAGAAAGCTTAAAAAATGCAACATTTGAAAACCCAACACCATATAATTTATTTATGGCATTTTATACATTCAAATTATTCTATAGTTCCTGAAACCTGTGTTTGATACTATTTTAATTTCCAGGATTATGAATATAGCTCCCCTTCATATTCATAACTTTTTCCTAAAAACTTTAAGGAGTATACAAATAAAATTTTCATTAACAGTATTCATATTAATATCTACCCTTGACTGCAAAGTATAGGGAGTCATTGGAGATTCAAACAACTCTAAAAAATATTCAGTGTTGGAAACACATAAAATATAGATGATGCTGTTAAAGTAGCTAATTGGGGGGCTTGGGAGATGGTTTACTGGGTAAACTGCTTGCTGCATAAGCATGAGAACCTAAGTTCAGATCTCTACTCCCATGTGAAGGGTGTATGGTACTGCTAGGGTAGGGTGGAGACAGAAAGATTCCCCAGAGCTCACTGGCCAGTTGGCCTATCTGAAATGGAGAGCTCCAGGTTTAGTGAGGCACCCCATCTTAAAACAATAACTGGAGGGACTAGAGAGATGGCTCAGGGGTTAAGAGTACTGGCTGCTCTCTCAATGGGCCCAAGTTTGATTCTTAGCTTCCACATGGTGGCCCCCCACTGTCCATAACTTTAGTTCTTGGGGAATTAGATGCCCTCTTCTGATCTCCACAAGCACCTCACAACATGAGTGCACTTACACTCATGCAGACAATGCACTCATATGCATAAAATACAACTAAAACATAAAATATTAAAAAATAAGATGGAGAGAAAGAGAGGAAGATACCTAAACTTGGCCCACACACAGGCATGTGCTCCTGCATGCACACATGCTCCTCTCCTTCCCAATTAGAGTCAATGAAGGGGCGGCATAAGGGTGATAAATAAAACGAGAATATATATTAAAAGAATCCCTACAGGAAAAGAATATTTTTTTTCTGAATTTTTGGAAAAAAGAATAGGTTTATATGATTAACATCCTGAGAATCAATTTCAAAGTCTTTTGTACTCTGAAGGCAAAAATATAAAACTCTTCAACTTATTGTCTGATTCATTTAATAAACATACTTATGTGTCCCATATTTTAAAGATGAATTATTTTTCTTTTAAAATTGGCTTATCTTTTTTGAATTATTGTTTGTTCATCTGTTATTTATTATAAGATAAATTACTGACAGAACATAATCCAGCCTACAAACAAGTGATGTGGATCCATGAATCCTATTATACTGTTGCTTTGGTACGTGATAGAAAGCAAAAGGCTAGACTTTCTTTCTCAAGTGTAATTAAGTGCTGAAAATTCACTTATGAAGTAAGTCAGAAGAAGATGAATATAGTCATGCCATGGGTGAAAGCAGATTTTCATATATACACATAAAGCATATTTACAACTTAGCAGATGCCCTGGTAAAGAACTTGCAACTGTCCCTGCTCACAAGGACCAACCGCTCTTACAACAGTGCTGAAACTTTTCTTTTCTAAAAATATTAATTATTTTTATTTTATGTGTATACATGTACTGCCTGCATGTGGGTAAGTACACCCATGTTGTGCAATAACCCCAGAGGAGTCTGTAGGATCCCCTGGAACTGGAGTTATGAACAGTTGTTAGCTGTCATGTGGGTGCTGGGATTCAAACCCAGGTCTTCTGCAAGGACAGTCATGTGTTCTTAACTGCTGAGCCATCTCTCCAGTCCCTATGTGCTGAAACTTTTAACGCTGCTAAATCATTATTTCCAATATGAATATTAAAGTTTTTTAACTGAAGCACTGTCATGGAATATGACATTCTTAACTTACTTTAGCTACATAGTTCTTTAACTTGGCAGAACAGTGTCATGAATCTTTTCATTTCTAGAATTCTACAGCTTTGCATGCTATAAACTGGAGATATCTTAATGTCTGGAAATAACTGCTAGTACCTTATCACAGCAGGAGGTGGCGATTTATATGACTGGGGAAGGGAACACTTCCAGTTTCTTTGGTGAGTCCTTGGCCTTTATGAACTAAACTGAAAGACTGTGACAGATTCTCTCTAGTCTCCCAGCACTTGTAGTTTTGGGCAGAAGTCAATTGCAGAGCCAGGGTAGAAATCATGATTTAGTGCGATAAAAACAAATTTTCATTTGGTGCAAAGGAATGACACTCTGGATCCAGTCCTCACTTCCTTTCCTTGTGAGGCATTTAGATGGATCTGCCTGTTTTGAATCATTCTACAGCAGAAATTCCTAGATCAGAGCAGGGATTTCTTCTCATAGGCATGAAGGGCTGCAGAACTTGCTCTGTATCTCACTACATGTCCAGTCTTTGACCCTGGCAGAATCTGGAGGCTCTAGATCTCTTTACCATGCTGCTGGCCATAGTAGATTAAGAGCCATCTGGGCATTATGGTAGACTTTTGGTTCTTATTGTCACATTCATAAAAAGAAAACAGGCACTGAGCAAAACAGCAGAGAAATAACTGCAGTTCCTGGAACATGTTGTATTCTTTTATGTCTAATTTGAAACTGCTAGTCTTGAAGCACTTTAGATAACTAGTGGTCTCTAGTTTCAAAGCTCTCCAGGCCACTGCACTGAACTTGTAAGCATTAACTAAAAGCTCTCTCAGAATTCGTACCTTTAGAAAATGCTTGTCATATGAAGAAACACCCTTCTTCCTGTCACCCAAGTTTACCCTGTGTATTCTTCAAATGTCAGATGTTGTGTGACTTTAACTGACCAGCCCCAATTTAACCCTAAAATTGGGTATTATTTCCAATATGCTCTCATTTATACCTTATGACATTTACCACTTGCTAGTATAATTATTTGTATACAGACAAAATCCCTTACTTGCTTTTCCTATAGGCCTGGGATGGTATTTCTTGATTGGAAGAGGAATGCCCACTGCATGTTTGACTTTCAAACTGATGGGGAACAGGTAGCTGGACAAATGAAAGTGTTCTAAGCAGTAAGTCCCCAGATCTGCACCAGCACTACAAGTGGAGTCACAGCCTTCCTTTACATTAACATTAAAGATATCAGACTGTAGGCTATCAGAATTGCAGTTCCCTTTCTCAGTGCTTACAGTAGAAGGTAGTTTCCCAAATACACACCTGGATAAACCCCTGTCCAGCACTCAGCTTTGTTTTCCTTAATGGTTAGCTAATGAATCCTCCTTTTAGAAACATCAGTTAGCTATGCTTTCCTGTTGGAGATTTGGCTTAAAGGCCAGCATCTCACTTTATAGGAATGCACATTTTGGACTGTTAAGGTTGTTGCTAAACTTAGGCGAATACATTTTAGAAATTTCTTCTTTCAACAGTAAGAAAAATGGCAACGTTCTTTGCTAATGGGGCAGCATTTCAATACTGGAATTTGGCTGCTGGAAATCTTAAAATGCTGACTTGAGAAAGCTGGATTTTTGAAGACTCATTTAAGAGTTCAGACCTGTTTTCTCACCATTTATAAGAATAAAAGAACTTTAACAGGGATGAAGGTTGTGTTGGCTGTGGCACTCCCAGAAGTGAGGCACTTCTCTTGCTTTCCCAGCAGCAGCCATCTACTCCAGTTCTGATTTGGTTTTCCTTCGCACAGTCAATGAACGTTCATTTCCTCCCATCAAGACATGTACAGCTTTCTGGATTACAGCAGAACAACCCTTTATTTCTATATGTGCTATGAAAAGTTTATGTCTAGGAACCCAAACCCCAGGCTTGTTCCCACTATCACTGTACCTGGATTGTGAAAAATATTTTCTTAAAGGTTTTCTCTATACATCTGCATCGCTGATGTGTGATACAAATACAATCAGGTACCAACAACGTTTGAGCACTAAGACAGATATGTTAACTGAATACCTGTGTATCTCTATATACTTATAGACCTGTAAAATAAACACCGTCTGTCAGTTTCTTGAGAAAACACATGAAAACCTTACATAATGGCTTCTCCAATAAATCAGCGAAAGTGACAAACTGAAATGAAGTGAAATGACTTAAGGGAAACACATTTTCAGCACACTCACCCACTGTGCTTCATATGTGCTGGTTTATCCATTCGAACTGCCAATTTGATCTTTAAGTCGGAGTCTTGACTATTTTTAGGAATTATCATTCGGTGTAATTCAGCTGACTTAGAGCTACTAGAAGTTGGGTATAATATCACCTGTAAGGGACGAAATAGAAAACTTTCAGCACTTATGCATTGTAACTAAACTCATATAGATAGATAGATGATAGATGATAGATAGATAGAAGATAGATAGATATAGATATAGATGTATTTTTTCCTACTCCAAAAGAAGGTGTCAATGCCAAAATACATCTGATGAGCCACTGGACTGCCTCCACCATAGCAGATGGATTTTCTATATGGGTTTATTTGTTTTTGACAAGTATGTGTTTTCATATTATCACATAATGAGTTTTCTTCCTGTGTCACTTCATGGTGAATTAATAGCACAATGTGAGACAGTTGAGTTGACAGTTGAAAAATGCTTAATGGATACCTAGAATTTCAACACTACTCAAGTTCCTCAGGGCAAAAGAAATTCAGAAATGAATATTCTTTGAAAATACAGATAACAAAAAGCAAAACCAATTATTGAAGCTGTACAAATATGCCTGGTGTTTTAATATTATCACTGTACAATAATATTAAAGGAAATCAACTCAATTACGGGCAGAAAAGAACAATCATAGCACCTTTTCTGCTCTAAATCAATACTAAAGAAAGATTGTATTACTGTCTGCAGGTTTTCAGAATTATCAAAATGGCATTATTATCAAAATAAAGTAATTATCTTAAAAAACTGCCAAGTTATCAAATGATTGTTTTATAACTTCTCTTCATAAATTCAGCCTAGGAAAGTGTATATTTCTTTGGTAAAACATGTCATATCAATAAAATAATCAATTTTCCCCTCATGCAGTCTTGACACCTTTTAATCACAGCCCATATTCAAGCTCTAGGAGGCATGCTAAAATGGAAGCACTACAACCTGAAAGACAAAACAAAGTATAGTAGATTCAAACCTAACAGCCATCCTTATCTTAAAGAATCAGGAAAAGTCTATGCACCAGAAGCTTAGATATGAATGGAAGAATAATGAACATACTCTGTATGAGATGTTTTCGAACCAAGAGCAAAGGATATTCTTCACCCTCCAAAAATTTTTGTTTTCAGGTAAATGTGTTCAAGAAATCTGCAAGCCAGGCTCACCTTTTCTCCAAGAAAGACAACACAGTCCCAAATTTTCTCAAACTGCTCTCCACTTACAAGGTGCTACCTGTACCTACCATTCCCAGTTTTTCTTCAAGGCTATCTTAAAAGTCATTGCTTTGCTGAGTCCAAAACATCTGTGGGCTCTAGTGCACAATGGACATACAAGAAGAAGCCGAACGGCATTTCTCGAGATCTTTTCAAATTTATAATCACACTCCAGAATCCATTCATTTGGAATGAAAACTATCCAGTGGGATATTGAACATTTGCTTTCTTTCTTAAATGGCAGTGAAGTAAAAAAATGTGAGTAGCTCTTGGCTCAAACCAGTGGACAAAGAAATCTGATTATCAACAGGGCTGTCCACTATCTCCACTCCTTTTCAATCTAGTCCTTGAAACTTATTACAAGAGCAATAAGACAAGAGAAGGAAATTACAGGAGTACCAATTATAAAAGAGGAGGTCAAATTATCCCTATTTGCAGATGATATGCTATTATACACAAGAGAGCCCAAAAATTCCACTAGAAAACTGTTAGAATTAACACTTTCAGTAAAGTGGCAGGATACAAAATCAACTTACAAAAATCAGTAGCCTTTGTATATGCCAATAACAAGGAATCAGAAAAAGCACTTGAGGAAACCCTCCCATTCTCAATAGCCTTAAAAAAATAAAATATTTAGGAATAAACCCAAGCAAAGACATTAAAGAGCTATACAATTAAAATCTGAAAACTCTAAAGAAAGAGATAAAGGAAAACATTAGGAGTTGGAAAGACCTACCATGCTCATGGGTTGGTAGAATCAATATTGTGAAAATGACCATCTTACCAAAAGCAATTTATAGGTTCACTGTGATCCCAATCAAAATACCCATAACATTCTTCACAGAGCTTTACAAAATCATCCTAAAATTCATATAGAATCACAAAAGACCCAGGATAGACAAAACAATCTTGGGCATAAAGAACAATGCTGGGGGATCACCATACTAAATCTCAGATAATATTACAGAGCTATAGTAATAAAAACAGCATGGTACTGGCACAAAAATAAACATGTACATCAATGGAACAGACCTACCATAAAAGACCCAAACATCAGTTCATATAATTTCAGCCACCTGATATTCGACAAAGGTGCTAAGAACACACAATGGAGGAAAGAGAATATCTGTAACAATTGGTGCTGGCAAAACTGGATGTCCAGTTTCTGCAGAAAAATGAAACTTTACCCTTATCTTTCACCCCGTACAAAGGTCAACTCGAAATGGATCAAAGACCTCCATGTAAAACCTGAAACTCGGAAACTGCTAGAAGAAAACATAGGCAGCATTCTTCAAGAGAGAGGTGTAAGAAGAGACTTTCTAAATCGGATACCAGCTGCTCAGGCACTAAGGTCAACAATCATTAAGTGGGACCTCATTAAATTACAAAGTTTCTGTACAGAAAAAGAAACAACTAATGAAGGGAAGAGGAAACCCATTGAATGGGAGAAAATCTTCACCAGCTACACATCAGACAGAGGATTAATATCCAGAATATACAAAGAACTCAAAAAAGAAAGAAATAAGAAAATAAATGACTAAATAAAAAGATGGGTGATAGACCTAAACAAAGAGTTCTCAAATGAAGAAATAAAAATGGCTAAGAAGCACCTCAACCCACAAAGAAAAAAAAAATCAAAGACTAAGGCAAAGCAAGGCTGAACTATTTCAAGCAAGTCTGGTAAGCTTTTCCTGTCTTCCATTTCCTTTTTCCTCTCCCTTTCTCCATTTCTGCCCTTTTCCCTCCCATCTTCCTCATTTATTTCTTTTGAGACAGGGTTTCCCTGGAACCATAGCTTGTCTAGACTTACTATGTAGACCAGGTTGGTCCCAATCTCATGGAGATCCACCTGCCTCTGCCTCTGGAATGCTGCTATTAAAAGCGTGCACCACCACATTCAACTCTACGTATTCTTTGACATAATGCACCAATACACTTTATTCTCTTTTAGTTCTTCCTTCTCTGTTCATATAATTTTTTCCAATTCAAACTTCATAATTTTGAAAACATCTTGCTTAGAAGAGAGTAAGAATCTGATGGCCTCTTATTCTCTAAATGCTCTATAGTTGACAAAATGAGGCCTCAAAATAACTAGTTGCAGCTAAGTTACGTCACAAATTAAGGATCATACCAAATACAATACCATCACCTCTGTCACATTTTAATTTTCAAAATTTGTTTTTATTGAATTTTTGTATATTTCACGCAGAACTTCTCAAACAATCTTAATCATCTTTATACTCTCATCCTCACCAGCATCCCCAACTGGAGCCCATATATTCTGTTATTCCTATTAAGACCCACTGTGCCAAGTTAGTGTCCCCAGACGTTCCTCAGTGTAAATCCATCCACTGACATCTAGTCAGTCTATCTAGAGTTCCTTGTTTTAGAAAGATCAGCTGTTCTTCACCTAGCAGCAATCAGCTGCAAATATTTCTTCAGATAAGATTGGGGTCTTCTGCATATTTTATTTTTTCTAACTGGTATTTCTGACTGAATCTATGAAACATAGAAATCTATGTTTCTAAGAGAAGCCAGTAACAGGATTTATTGCTCTGCAACCTTCAATGAAAAGCTTTTGTTCCATTTGTGGGGACATGGAGGTATGGAAGAATCTGAGTGACTCAGCCCTATCAAAGAGCCCAGAGCCTTTTGTCATAGGAACATCAGCTCTGTTAATGCCACTTTTTCCTGCTGTTCTGCCCCTAGCTTTTTTCCTGATTTTGTTAATCCTGTAGTTTACTTGTCATTGTCAGCTTGGCTTCTTTGTCCCAATATAAATATAACTAATTCCCTATGTTAAGTAAGTCCGCTCCAGTATCGGTTGACAAGACTATTCTTTCCTTATTGAATTGCCTTAGCATCTATGCCAAAAATAAACTAGCCATAGGATTAGGTGTCTAGTTCTTCAGTAAAGTCCTTGTCAAGCATGTACAAAGTCCTGAATCCATTCCTAGTACCAGAGAAAGTAATGATAAGAAAAATAAATACAGATGGGCATGATGATTAATGCCTATGATCCCAGTACCTGAGAGGTAGAGACAGGAGGATCATCCACAAGATTGGGGCCAGCCTGATCTGCAAAGTGAATTTCATGCTGGCCAGAGCTACACAGCAAGGTCCTGTCTCAGAAACAAAAGCACATAAAACCCCAAATCCCTCCAAGCCACATAAATTTGCAATGAATAAAAAGGCTTATTAATGGACTCCCAATTCTGTTCTGTCATTCTACATGTGTGTCCGGATGAAGTGCTACTGTTTAGGTTTGAAAGCCTGGGCATGGTTTCTGCTTTTCCGGACAAATGGACTGGTAAAGATATCATCGCTAGAATGTATGAAAAATGGTGGCTTATAGATAGGAAATCTATGTTTCTAAGAAAACTACCCTGGCAAACTGGCCTCAAACTCAGTCTTTAAAATGGCCTGTAAAATAGTCTTCAGAGTCCCAAACTGAATAGAGAGAAAGAGGTTATACTTGGTCATGGAACTTGGTCATGAATGACAACAGGGAAGAAACCCCCAGAGCAGAGGTATTCTCATATTCCCAGCCCCAGTCTCGGTCTTGGCAAGAGGTCCTGAACACTCCCAGGGCTAGGAGTCTTCACAGGGTCTGCCTGGCTGGGTTTCATCACTGTTATTAGATAAACACTTCTTATTTTCCTATCATTCAAAGAGGAAACTGTAGCTTTCCTTTCTCTGCTCTACTATGGCTGACTAGGTCAGGGTGGGTAGAGAGGGTGCAGCAGTACCCTGAACACAGGGTATCAGGCTGCCAAGACCTATAAATAAATATGCTGTAGATGTTGGACTGGGTGTAATGAGGAGATGGTACTCTGGGCTGTTTCCCCTGAGTGGAAATGAATGCTTCCTATAGAGGAGGAAGGGTACCAATACTA